TATATATATATATATATAGATATATATATATATAGCTAGCTAAAGAAGCACTAGCCAAACAATAGCTATAACCATGAGAATAACAGCCAGAACACAAATGCTAATAAAGACAATATCGCTCAAATCATGAGGCTCAGCTTCTGGATCCCCTTCACTGCCACTGCTACCATTGTCAGTTTGCTGGGCCTGCTCCTCCAGACGACGCTCCTCTGCAGAAATGATGGACGCTGATGCTATTTTCCGCAGGGCATCGCACTGCAATTTATATTCTTGTACATTTTCCTGCTTCCCATCAGAGAAATCAATGTAGAGTTTGTTTACAAGCATGGTGATGTTCCGATGTTTCTGTAAGGGATCATTAGATACAGTATTAATAGAAGCAAGTCGCAAGTGTCTGCAACAAATGTTTAGCAGTTTAAATAGGGCAAATTGCTGCCTATTATAGTGTGCCAGTAAATGAGAACATGTTAGTCACCTGGCTGGCAGTACCACAGTCGACAAACTGAGCCACTATCTTGTATGAAGTGGTCGTTAACTGCGCTGTACAGGTCGGGTTTCCTAAGTAGATGCTCTCACGGTCCAGCTGAGGTAAGGACTGCTGGGGTATCACAATGGTGAATTCTGATCTTGTGCAGCTAACATTTACAGGCACCACTTGGATTGAGGAAAAAAAATCACACTTTTTAAGAGCAGCATAAGAATGATATGGAAAAAGTTAACAAAAAGATATTTTAGAAGTTAATCATACGCCTGTACAAGGAATATTTACCTCCCTGATAAGAAGCGGTGAATCCTCTGTGTGCTTCATTTCTGTCTGTGCTGAGCACGACCAGCAACTTGTTGCCCTTTGAGACGAGAGAAGAAGGATGCTCCCTGCCACACCAGCGTCCCATCAGAGCGTCCGTCTGGCTATTCCCATCATAAACTGCGACAGAGTCATAGTCGCACTCATCTGATAAACTGTTGCGGTCCTCCAAGTCCATTAAGGGGAAGAAGAGTTTGATGCGGTAGCCTGCGGCTAGAGTGATGCTCCAGTGGCAGTTAATGTTGTTTGGGTAGATGTTGGGGAAATTTGGGCTGCTAAAGTTGCCACTCACATGAGACAGCACCTGCTGGCACTCACCTATTAAAGTACAGCCAATCAGATAGTCATTTGAATTGCAGATGTTAGCTTGCTGCACTGCGTTCATTTTATGATTGGCTTTTTTTGTACTTCATCCTCTCCATGCAGCCTCATGTAAGTCTCGGACTAAAAGTTTATGTTTAAGATCCTGGTCACTGTGTCTGGCAAATAAATTTTAAATGGGCAAATGACATTACCAGAGTCTCCTCCAGATGTTCTGTTTAACTCCCAAAGACCAAAGACATGTTTATATGACTGATTTAATCAGTGACTGTAAGTTGGCTGCGTGTGTGACTATTAGAGTGTGTGGTTGTCTGCCTCTCTGTGTTAGATCTGTGATGGGCTGGGGGTTATATATGGCATTTATACAGGTGTCTCTTCAAGTTGTTTTTTTTATCCTTTTTGCCAGCTGGCTTATGCTCAACAAGGTCAAATAGGCACAGTCTGTGAGCAGCTTTCTAAAACTTACTCTGCAGTTTCGACTGAACTCGAGTGTCCCTAGACCAGTCAAGGACCTTCACATTTGTGTTTATGATGGTGGTGTTTACCCAGTTTCTATGAAAGAGGATTTTTTTCTTTGCAACTGAAATGCTTCTATTTGATCAGATTGTTAGGGTATATTGTTTCATGCTCTGGATATCTCCTGTGGCTTGTTTCAGTCGAGCTGAAATACCTTTAGCCAATAATAAAATCCATTGTTCTCTATTTTTTAAAATCCAACATTCTCACAAAATGTTCCCTGTTGATCTTTAGCTTTTTGAAATAGATTTTTTTGTGGGTTTCAAGATAGATTTTCTGTTCTGTGAGTGAACAGAAGTTTTTAAACATAATTTGCTTTAGGTCGAATGTCAAATTGTTGATAATTGAAAAAAAATTACCTTTAGGTTTCTGCACTTACACCAAAAACATGAACACTCAAAGAGAAAAAATACAAAAGCACTTTGCATATTGATGTGAGAAAGCCAAAATCAAATTCACCTACCTGAATAATAGTAGGCCTTGAACCCACGTCCCCCAATGTTGAAGTCAGACTTGAAGACTACGAGAAGTTGGTTGGAAGTAGTGATGATGTTGGGGGGTTTATCTGTCCCACAGTATTTACCCAGATGCCGGTGGGTGACTGTTGGGCCGTCAAACAGGGCTACAAAGTCAAAGTTACATCCTTCATTGTTTTCCAGCTGGAAGTCCAAAAACACCAAGGTGACCACACTTGTGTTAGACACATGGATGGCCCAAGAGCAGTCGGCATTGTTGCTATACTCCTGGGGGTAGCCTGGGCTAGAGATTACTCCAGATAGTCCAGTCAGGACTCCACCACACATATCTAGAGAAGAAAAAATGCAGATTTAGATTTGCATTGGAAACCACATGCACGCTTTCTATTCAGTGTGCTGCATTTTTATAGCTAACTGTTAGTCCAAAGTTTAGGCAACAATTCAGACATTTATAGTCATGCTAACAGTTCTGCAACTTTTAGAAAATAAAACAGTAACTAAATTGTAAACACGATAATATGTTCATTGTGAGCATTATGGTTTTGTGAAATTTGCCTCACCTACGCAGCCACTAGCATCCATATGAGCTCTAATTGAATATAATATACAATATTTAAGTGAGGTCAAAACCAAGAAATTTCACTTACAAGACACGACTTAAACTGTCTAAACATGGCCGGACAAAATCAACTCAAGTTTTGGCCAACTATCCCTGTCACATTGCATTAAGTGTAACAAGCTACCTTTTCTGTAGCCAACAGTGAAGCCCCTGTAGGCCACATGGCGGTCTGAATGAAAGATGATGGACATGACATTCCAAGAAGAGGTGAATTGAGGTGGAGAGATGTCACCACAAAATGTCCCGAGGAGGTTCCCTTCATCCTCAGATATGCCATTGTATATTTTAATGTAATCATAAGCACAGCTTGCATGGTACTCCAGCTCAAAGTAGTGGAAAGTGAGGAGGACAGAGGAGCCCTCTGCTACCACAATTAGCCAGGAACAGTGTGTGTTGTAGGGGTATAGGCCTGGGAAGTTTGGGCTGGAGAAATTGCCAGATGGAGCAGAGAGGATTCCTCCACATTTGACTCCTTATAATGACAAAAAATAAACAAAACAAAACAGAAAAAACATTTCATTTCAGTTCAGAGAAAGAAGTCATGGTTCACCGTGAAAGTGTATTACAAGCTGACATTGAACAATTGGATCCCACCATTCTCTCTATATACAGTACCTGCAAGATAAAGCACTCCCATGAAATTTAAGCATTGCTCCATCAAGATAAAGAATGGCAACTCACCTTTTTTAGAATCAGCCTTGTCAAAGAGCAGTACTAAATGAATCAGTATAGTCACCCTGAGAGTCATGTTGTTATTGCTGATTTGGCTTTTGTCACACCCCGGCTACAATAACGGCAGAAACGCACAACGGCAATGTCAGAGCGCACAGCCTTGAGACATCAGCAGCGGTGCCTGTAGAGGTAAGAGGACTTTGAAAAATTCATCCGTAGCCTGAATGAGTAACCTGATAGCTGCCTAGGCCATGCTTTGCCTTTCCGCTAAATTTTAATGACTGATATCCAATGAGCATGAGTGGCTTGTCAGGACACTGTTTGGAGAGATGTTATACATTTTTAATGACACACACACACACACACACACACACACACACACACACACACACACACACACACACACACACACACACACACACACACAGCTGCAAATGGAGTTAATAAAGAGGCAAGAAGGAGAGAAGGATGATCGTATTTGTCACTAATATAAATGGCTTCATTAATGTGACGTGAAAGAAAAGATCCCACAGTCACAAAGTAATAAGGGCACTGTGCAGGCTTTGTGTTTGTTAAAGCAGCTTAAGCATGCATTTGCATTTTAATGCACTTGAGTGTATATAATGAGGTGAAGCGCAGAAATAGTGTTTATTGTTTCTGTTACTACTGAGGTTCACACCTGCAGCTTCTGTTTGAATAGTCTCATTGTACCTAAGCACAATTTTTAAAACAATGGGTTTCAGGAGGACGAGAACTTTATCATATCAAATCTTTTATTCTCAACAAATGCTTCATAATTGCTTTGTGGCAGTTCTGTTCATATAAGTTAAAGGGCTCATTTTTTGTGTAATAATGTGCTTGTTTTAAATTCAAACAAACACAGACTGTGCCACTGCATTGTATCTGATAAGTAAGGTAATTTTCCTCAGAAAATGCAAACCTTTTTAATGCAAATTCTGTTTATACTCTAATTTCTGTTTATGGGAAGAGTAATGCGGCGACTCTCAGACAGAGATTTTGTGGTATTTGCCAAACGCCAATCATATTCCATGAGTCATTCCTTCTGTTTTTGCAGCCTTATAGCCGAGTGGTGGAGACACATGTAGACAGTAATCCTGAGTCAATGTGATTGCACAGCAGACAGGGAGATAAAGTACTCTTAGTAAAAGCCTATTCTTCAAATAAATGTTTACTATTCCAGCAGTGCCGTGAAGGCAAGGCTTTTAGATTGAGCATGTCTAATAGCTTCAGTGAGCAACACTAATTCCTAAAGAAACCTGCTAGATGGTGCTGTTACACTGTGAAAATAAAGTGAAAATCAACACTGGGTTTTAAAAAGTCATGTCAAGCTCTAAGCTGAAATAAATAAGAATGTGATTAAAATCAGTCAAGTGTTCTTGCACAGGGGTTCCTGGAACTAAAATGAACCGCCTTGCCTTTGAATTTTAATTCTGTCCTCTCTGAAAGCTTGTCA